ATATATAATGTCGGGTTGGTTTTTTTTAGTTAAAACCAAACCAACCCAAATATAGTTTTTTTTTTCCAATACCAAACCAAATCACTAGTTGGGTTTTTTTCGATTTGACTCGATTTTCGGTTCGATTTTGTACACCCCTAACAAGAAATATAGATTAATAGTAATATAATAGTTAATACAACAAAAAAGGAAATAGGTTTTCCATTTTTTGGCTTTACGACTTTAGGACTAACAATATATGATTATATTGTTATTCCAAAATATTAAATGAGGCTAATATACCTAAGTTAAACGTTTAAGTATGATAACTCTTAACGGGTTAACAATTTATTCGATAAGGAAATTAAATAATCTGCCCCACACCAATAAGCCATTAATTAAAAAATTCTAATCCTTTCACCAACCATTTATTCGATAACTCAATACCAATAAATCAATTTTACGGTTGACTTATCGGTTACCGTTAAATTTTGAATACCCCTGGTTTACAGGAGTAGGATTTGCTGCAAGTTGGATGAAAATTGAATATTTGATCTCACATTCCCAGAATTAAAGTCCAACTTTCATCTTCATTAAACACAACTTTCTACTTATAATCAATTAATTTGCCACTTATGAGATTATATAGCAGATATGCTTTGCATTGAAGACTATAGCAAACAAAAACACATTTTTTCAGGTTTTTTATCAAGCTTAGAATGGAGGAAGATACCAAATTAATTAGGTATAGATGTACTGTTAATGCAGTATTTGTAGAATAGCAGGGGAAGCACACAACAATCACAAAATCTTAGAGTAGAAACTTCCAATGTTTCTTGTAATAAAATTTAAAGTTTAGAAATACTAGTACTTCTTCTCTTACAATTTGCATTGTTTTTTTAGTCTATAAGTAGGGATAGCCAGCAAAGGCTTTTCTCTACATGTTACAATCCCAAAGTGCTCATCAATGTCTAAATCACAAGGTTGAATACCATTTGGAAGCTCCCACTCAAAGCAATGCACCAACTGTGCCACCACAAGGCGGACAACGGTTACTCCCAATTGCATTCCAGGACAACTTCTTCTCCCAGAGCCAAATGGTACAAGTTGGAAGTCGTTTCCA